GATTGCCGCCCTCCCGCGCCAGGCACAGGCAGGCAGAGGCAGCTCGTCGTCCCGGCCCGCTCCTGTAGTTGCTGTACCGAGAGCATGGGGCGCCTGCGCGCGCACATTGCCACCCGCTGCTCATCTGCAGGCCGCGCGGCCCCGCCCCCACTGCCTCCTGGTCCCGACCCCCCCTTGGCGCGCGGCCTCGTTTTCGTCAAGGAGGCAATGGTGTGGTCTCAGCTCGCGTCTCGTTCTCTGCCCTGCCCTGGGACGGGACGACCTGCCCGGGCTGGGTGTCTGATGACCATGACCATGGATAAGGATTCCGTGCCAGCTCGGACTCGGAGCTCGCGCGCGCGGTGGCGCCTGTGCCGTTGGACGGCGGGCGGACTGCGGAAGTGCGGAGGGGTGGTCAACAGAGCGGGAGCGCGCCTCGTTCTCGGTCCGCGCGGGCCGTTTCGTTACTTAACCAAGTCCCGTTCCGCGTGCCGTCGTCGTCGTCGTGGGAACCCGCACGCACGGGCACGGCATGGCACGCACGAGCTGCTGCTGCCGTGAAAAGGGGCTCCTGCTGCTAGAAAAAACGCCGTGCACTGTGCGCTCGACGCTAGCAGCGAGGAGAAGCGACCAGCAGCAAGATGTTGCTGGGTGCCGATCCGGTCCACGGCCAGCTACACGGCGAACCAGGGCGGCCGCTGCTGCTACGCTTCTCCATCTCGATCGAATCTCCGCTAGCAAAAGCCGCGCTGCTGGTCTTGTTTACCCGTGAAGCTGATCGATCGTCTGTAATGTAATAATCATATCTGACGGGCAATTAACGAAGACTGCATTCAACGAAGACTCGCTGCTTTCAACATCCGAATCATTCGTAGCATGGTTTAGGGTCAGTTACCACTCATGGGTCATGATGCGCACTATGATTTTTAAAACAAAGTCTAACTTACTTCCCCGAATCTAAATTGACATTCTTTTGAGACGGATTCATTAATTCAACGATGACTCACCTCTTCGATCGCTTACTCCCTCCAGCAGCATGCAGGATACTGACGGCTGCAGACAGAAATGTGCAGTGCCGAGTCCGGAAAGGTAGCTGCAGGTCCTGCTCCTGTGATCCTGTCTACCGCTCGCGCGATCATCCCCTACGAAATCTGTATTTTGCACTGAAACGTCCGTGATTATATTCCTTGGGGGTGGGCCGGGGCGGCAATCAACAATCATGCAGTACAGAAGTGACGACTGAAGCTCGCCAACAACAACCAAAAAAAAAACAGTGACGACTGACGACTGTTGACTCAGTAACAGGGTAAACAAGTACTAGTAGTACAAGCAAGGTGTGTACTCCTGCACCTGGAGCTACGTACGTACTAACATTACAAATACCTGGCCTTTTTGTTGTTTACCTCTCGCGCATACTGCCACCTCCGTATGCATGCAGTTCTACCACCGTAGTGCGATAAAAACTAATACATGTCCTTTGTCCCTGCACGAATAAATCGCAACACAACACTCCATGCATGCATGCTGCAGCATTATTATTCAGATGTCTGTGTGTGTTTTTGGCCTTTTATTAGCTGCCTGCTGGCTAGTCCCAGTCCCAGGCAGATTAAAGCTGCATGTGATTATACCAGATATAATAAGGCAACAGGGGCACCCGGCCAAAGTTGGACGATGATATGGTTTGTTCCGGGGAATTGAAGAAGTGCACCGCCCACTTGATATTGTACTGTACTGTACTGTGCATCTAACGGCACAGGGCGGGCGTTCCATAGAAGGAAGATTCCTAGTAACTTCACCACCCAAAACAGCCCACATGTACGTCAGGAGTAAGATAACCTTTGCTTGTCTGCGTGTAGGAACAAAAATGCTAGCTTGTCTCAGTTCGCTCGTTCCCCGCTCTCGTGGCTCGTGAGCCGGCTGAGACTACTCGCCCAAATGGATCATGCGTATGCATGGACAAACGAGCTAGGAATGAATTTCTTTCGGCCCTGGGCAAACACGTAGACAAGCATGTGACTGTGACAATCTTTTATACTTGAATAAAAAAGTTTAGGCTTTCACTGCTACAGATCCGTGGATCAGTTGGGTCTATACCCGACCTCACCGCCGGAACTAAATTCGGGGTAGAGAATAATCGGCATGGATGGCCTATCACTACCATTCACTGCCAATGTTCTTAACCCGTCAAAACTAGACCCGGCAGTGATAGTAGATCATCTCCAACTTTATTAATAGTCGGGGTTCACTGCCGTGTCAATGTACGGAAGCATCAAATACATTCTAGAACCACTTTGGTTGTACCTGTATCATTGCCATTGTGTTGAGCAATCTTTTTACTCAGCTAACATCTGGTCCAACTTATAACGAACGGACGGGAAGTCAGGAATACAATATCCAATGTTACAAGGTATACATGTTTTCACATAATGGTTCTTTGATAGGGTGCGTTGTTCCCTAGAGAAATTGGGGGATTCTACTGATGAAATTGATATGACTCTCCATCACGGAATTTGGTTGTCATATTATTGATCATGGATGTCTTGGAGCCATCTGAAAAAGGATGTTAGGAAGGATTATGTAACATTTAAAAACATAAATTCACTAATTGAGTGGAAGATAAGATTTCTTATTACTATGGTCAAATCACGAACGACATAAATATAGGGGGAATCCTGCCTAAGTTGGAGGTCCCTACATACCGATGTAAGCCCAAGTTGAAGCACATATAAGGAAATACAAAGGCACATAATTTACAAATCATCACCTTCCCATATAAACAAAATGGAGAACACATCATATGATTCACAAACAAATGTCTTGAACAAACCTTTGATAAACCATATCATATCCTCATGTCTCCGTTGAACAGATTATGCATGTGGGCTGTTACATGTAAAGTTTGTTATCAAACATATGAGAGGTCATGAATATATTATGCATTATCCGCAAGTGCCTTCATACATGATTTTGCGGCATTTCCCTCAGCAATTCTTTGCTAGGGTGCGCTCCTTCAGAAGCACAAACTCTCACTTGACATAACCAAGCCTATTAAGAAGACTGGATGCGCATTGGCTACTCTCTAAGCACTAATGGGGTCCATAATATACAATTAAGACTTCATAATCACTCTAATAAGCCAAATCACTCTCCTTAATCCAAATGTATGTAGCTAACTATACCTATCTTCTAAGAGTCACCAAATGTACAAGATGATGGGTTATATATAGGCCAAACACCCAAAACTAGCTCTTAACTCAGACAAAAATATTGCATCAAATTTCTTCAATGTTTTTTCCGCTGCACAATGGAGAGTTCCAATGTTTCTTCTATTTTCAAAAGACATCCACTCTATAACCAATCTTTGATACATCACTAGAGAACTCTGGTGTAGTCTTTGCCTCTCAATCAACTACACACCCTCTTTGTGCTTTGACTCTAGTGCTAATCTACAGTGATTGCACCGGAATTACTCGGTGAACTATAAGAACAAACCCTAGCCATGCATTATTCTTCCAAGCTCCAGTGGTTTCTCCGTTACCCACACCAGAGAGCTGCGGTGCTCATAAAGCATGTGCATTCTCATCTATTTTATCTTCTTCGAGATTCGCTCCATCCATCCTTGGACTTCATCCGAGCTACCTAGTACTAGTTTTCACAAGTGTGCATCACATCCACTCACTAGACACACTTAGGTCAAGCTACTTGTTCATACACCTCTTTATAGTGAGACCAAATAAAAAAAGAAAGAATCTGGCTACTCGCTCATCCACTCAAGGCTAAACAACACTTAGAACTAACTCATCCTTAACCTTCATGCATATCCTTTGAAAACCAATCAAAATCCATCATTAGGGGCATAAAAAACATATGAGCTCAATCAATACCCACCATTGTGACCTCAACAAGCAATGCCGTTGCAAAACAAATGTTAGTCGTAATGATTGTATCGTCATTAATCGTCAAAACCGAATTAGGTGTCTAGATGCTTTGAATATAATCCGCTAGTTAACACTTTAAACTTGCATGTCGAAAAGGCAAAAGTACAACTAGGGCAACATATCTGTCGACAAATTTTTTCAACAAAATCTGTTAGCTAGATTCGACCACCAAATGTTGCTATTTTTTTTCAATCATGATTTCTTATTGTTTAAACTTATTATAACTTTAGCTCTTTAGCATGTGTAAGTTCTATTTGTTTTGCTTTATTTATTACTTTAGTTTGTGGTGTTTCACTATTGTACAGTTTTAACGTAGTTATATAAGTACATTCTATGTTAAGTTAAATCAAAATGATATTAAAAAAGCCTGACCTATTTCATATAAAGAAATCTATCGACAATTATTATCGTGTGCTCTTGACAGATCCTTTATATATTGCTCTTTGGTTGCTTTGATAAAATATTTGTAACTCCATCCTGCACATACATGTAGTACGTACATGCTTAAGGAGAGTACTCACTCCACTCGTATCTCGAACCATGCCGCTGCAGAAGATTGATAAAGCATCAGTCTAGCGATTGAGATCCCACTCCACTCGTATTCGCATCAGCCACAAGCCCACAAGGAACCCACTGGACATCGCCATGGTTCGCGGGCAGTCCCCTCTGTATCTCCCCTGGCCGTAGCTGTAGCCCGTGGCCGGTGCCGTTAGAAAAATATAACCCGGAACCCGACGAGCTCCCCGCTGCCTCTGCGCGCACCCGGAGCGCCCTTTCACGCGTCGCCCACCCAGCTCAAACGCCGCCTCTGCTTCCGCGAACCGGCCGTGTCCAGTTCAGCGAGCCCCCAAAACCATTTTGCATTTTACCCTTACCCGCTTATATATATACGCGGCTTTACCACCGTTACCCCGTCCCACATCGCTCCCGGTTCCCCGCCACTGGATTTTTAGCCACCGCCCGTACCGGCAGCTCCAGCAAGAGTGCCACTCCCCTGAGTCCCCTCTCACACACACGTCACACACACTGCGTAGCGCGCAAGGCTGCCTCCGACTTTGATGCGCGTTGCCACCGCCGCGGTCCATGGCCTCCGCCGTCGCCAGTAACCTCCCCGCGGCCGCGCCAGCCGCCGTGCCGGTGCCGTACGGGTGGCTGAGCCCGCGCGTGTCCTTCAGCCGCGACGCCGCCGACCTGGTGGTGGTGGATCCCGTCGCCATGGCCGTGGCGGCGACGCCGGAGCCCGCGATCTCCAAGGACTTCATCGACTTCGAGTTCAGCCTCGGCGGCTCCGCCACCATGCTCCCCGCGGACGAGCTCTTCGCCGACGGCAAGCTGCTGCCCCTGAGGAAGGCGGCGGCGGCGGCGCCTCTGCCGGATCCGGAGGAGGCAATGGCAATGCCGGCGCCCAGCACGGAGCCGATCAAGCCTCTCCGCGCCGCGGCGGTAGCGGCGGCGGCTGACGGCACCGACCCCTACGCGTTCTCGCCCAAGGCGCCCAGCTGCTCTAGCCGCTGGCGCGCGCTTCTGGGGCTCAAGAGAGCGGCGGCGGCCGCGCAGAGCCCGAGCGCCAAGGCGTCAGCGTCTCCGTCGCCGTCGCCCACGGCGGCGAAGACCCCCGCGCCGGCGAGGGCGACGAACTCCGCGGCGGCGAGGTCGCTGAAGCTCCTGCTCCAGCGGAACACCACCGGGCGCGCGTCGGGCGCCGCGGCGTCGGACCTCGCGTCGGCGCCGCTCCTCCTGCGCGACAGCTCCGACTCGGAGGCGTCGCTGTCGCTGGCGTCCTCCCGCTTCTCGCTCTCCTCCTCGTCCTCCTCCTCCGGGCACGACCACGACGACGTGCCCCGCCTCTCGCTCGACTCCGCCGCCGCCGACCCCAACCCGGCCCGCATCCGCCTGGTCCGCCGCTCCTCCCACTCCAACCACCGCCACTCCACCTCTTCCTCCTCCAACACCCCCCGCGCCTGGCGCAGCCCGGCCCGGCGCCGGCCCTCGCCGCCGCCACCCCTGCGCTGCCTCTCCGTGGACTCCCCGCGCATGAACTCGTCGGGCAAGATCGTGTTCCAGGGGCTGGAACGCAGCTCCAGCTCCCCCTGCAGCTTCCACGCGGCGTCCAAGTCGCGGTCCCGCGCGGCGGTGGACCGGTCCTACTCGTCCGGCGTCCGCGTGGCGCCCGTGGTGCTCAACGTGCCCGTGTGCTCGCGCCCCGTGTTCGGCTTCTTCAAGGACAAGAAGGACACCGCCTCGGCCAAGGACGCCGCGGCGGCGGCGGCCGCGAGGTCCCGGTCGTCGCTGGGGCGGAAGGCGCAAGCGTGGAGCGGCGAGCTGGCGAGATCCTCCGGCTGATTTGACGAACCCCGGCCGTTTGACTTGACCGGGGGGGCAGCCCGCAGCCCCGCGACCTCGTGTTTGTCTCGTTTGCATGCAGAACGGCTGGGCTGTTGCCATCGACCATCATGATGATGAGAGGATGGATGATAGCTTGGGTGCTGGTTGGTTTTAACTGATTTTGTTTGTTCTTCGGAGACGACGACGACGATGGGGGATGTGGTTGTCTAATCAATTGACTGTATTTTTTTTCGCTCGACTGTAAATTCGAGTTTTGTACTGCTACCGCTCTCTTCTGATTTGGTTCAGGCCATGTTTTTCACCCTAAATTCCCAACTTTGACACTATGTAAAAAGAAAATTCCTTGTCACATCAAACTTACGGTATATGCATGGAGTACTAAATGTTGACGAAATCAACACAGTTTGGTTGTACTTTGCGAGACGAACGTTTTGAGCCTAATTAGTCAACGATCGGACAATTATTACCAAATAAAAACAAAATGCTACTGTAGCTACTAAACACGGCCTGAATGTGAATTCAAATGGTGGGAAATCTTCTGAAAAACGGTGCAACCTGCGTGCCTATGATCTGAATTTCCCGTAACGGGCCATTGTTCAGATCGGCGGCTACTGTTCCATCTGTTGGTTCGAAGTTTGAACAGGATGCAATGCAACGCGATGCCGATGCGAACAGAACAAAATGATGGCAGCATTTCTAGGGCAGAGCGATGGAAATCCGGGCACGCAGACGCAGTCTGTCAGTCACGCAGTTTGCAGCAAGCAGGCTCTCATTGTCTGTGGTTACCTGCACTGCATCGGAGTCAGCACATGCTGGGCAGTAGGCGCAGAGCCAGGGCAGTGGCATGCAAATGCGCAATGCAAAAAAAAAACCGGGGCGGTCCGGTCGCAATGCAAAAAAACCAGGGCGGGCTCCGGCTTGATCTGCTCCGCTCTGGATCCGGGCACTGTGCCGCATGTGCTAAATATTCGCGCAGCGCAGGCAGACAGGCGGCATGGTGATGGTGGCCACTGGCCAGCTTTTCTTTAGGCCTTGTTTAGTTCCACGAAATTTGGGAATTTGGCTACTGTAGTACTTTTGTTTTTATTTGGTAATTAGTGTTCAATCATGGACTAATTAGACTCAAAACGTTCGTCTCGTGATTTCCCATCGAACTGTGTAATTAGTTTTTTTTTCGTCTATATTTAATGCTCCATGCACATATCGTAAGATTAATGTAATGACTACTGTAGCACTTTTTGACAAAACTTTTTTGAAACTGAACACGGCCTTACTCGCGGCAAAAGAGCAAAGGCACAGGCGTCACTCACCGCGATCGCTGCCGCGTGGGCGTCCCATGTCACTCACCTGCGCCGCGCGGTGCTGGCGTCCGTCAGGCCTCAGCGTTCAGCATTCAGCAAGCTGCGCGGCACATGTGGACGCCACGCCCCACGCCGACGCCACGCCGGGCCGCGGGACTGCGGCGCCTGCCTGCCTGTACTCCTAGTAACTGTGACTGTGACACGGCGCGCAGCTTTTCACCCCTGGCCGCCTGCCACTGCCAAGGAAGTGATCCTGATCCTGACCCGATCCTACCGTTGGCCGCTTGCTGACGGTCCCGGCGCGGCGGTTCTCTCGCCGTCTCCTTCCCTGCTGGCCGGCCGCAGCGCAGGTGCAGCAGAAGTGCAGCGTAGTAGTAGGCCACAGCGCGGATTAATGAGAGCTCAGAGCGTGCATGCATGCATGCATGGATGGACCGGGCCACCGGGTCGGGTGCATCCTCCGGGGTGCAGAGGGTGCCATGAGTGTACTCCTAGCGTGGTAGCGTGTTGCAGCTGTGCGTCGCTCGTTCTTGGGCGTAGGTCGACGCATTGCAGCGCAGCCCATTGATGGCACGGCACGCCCTAGACGACAGATCTATCTGTATACTGGAGCACCTTGGAGCAAGCATCCTCATGGATCATGGAAACACAGGGTGGAATTCCATTCCAGTGCGTTGGCCGCTGGGGGTTGCAATGGCCAATGTGCGCTCGCTAACGGTGGTCGGTGGCAAGGCAAACGCTAACGGCCTCGGTTCGCTCGATCGTTTTTTTAAAACTCAACAGATGCTGTTTTATTATAAGAAAAAACATTGTATGATACTGATAAGCATGCTTATCCGATCGGAGAATTGGCAGCAGCCCAAGTGCCGAAGGGAACGGAAGAAACGGCCAGACCGGACGTACGTACGTACTGTGTACTCCATCAGTTATCAGTTGAGCCCTTGTTTAGTTTGGCGAATTTGGATTTTGTCTAAACTATATAATTCGTTTTATTTTTTATTAATATGTTAAAATTTAGACTAATTATGCTCAAAACGTCGATGTGACGCAATTTCCCACCAAAATTTGATTAGTTTTTATTTTGAAACGCCCCAAGTGCCGAAGGAACGGAAGATTCGATAGACCGGACGTACGTACGTACTGTGATTTTCCATCAACTAAACAGTTGAGCAGTGGAAAGAAAGACAGCTGATCGAGATGCACATCTTGGCTTGGAGTAGTGATGACTGACAGCCCCCAAAGTGTGAAAAGGCCGCCCGTACCCCCACCATCATGGCCCGAAGAAAAGCTGAGCCGCCATCAAAACCAAACGGCACGGCACCTGCACCTGCGAGTGATGCCTGACCTGAGGGCTCTGCCCGAAGTCTGATGGAGGAGATAAAAAAAAAAGAGTAACATACATCGTGCGTCCTTAACTTGTCTTAGGTGCCACTCAGGCGGTGTTTAGTTTTCCTAAACTTTTAACTTTAGCACTATACAAAAAGAAGATTCTCCATCACATTAAATTTGTGGTACATGTATGGAGTACTAAATGTAGATGAAATCAAAAACTAATTGTATAGTTTGGTTGAACTTTGCGAGACGAATCTTTTGAGCCTAATTAGTCAATGTTTGGACAATAATTCACAAATACAAACGAAATTACTACAGTATTTGCCATCACATCAAATACTGTGCAAATGCCGATTCCGGCCGAGCTAAGCAAGGCCTTAGATCCACAAACTCTCAAATCGTACTTCTGACACCATAATATTGTTTAAGTATGTCACTTAGGTCCATAACTCATTTGAACAAGGTTTTTGCCGATGTGGCGTGGATAGCGTGGCGCAGGCGCACATGAGCCGCGCGTGAGCCTGCGTCGTCCGCCAGAACTCGCCGACGTCATGATACCTGTCGCCCGCGTTGTCGTCCTCGACGAAGATCTTGCAGTTGTCGTAGCACGTCTCGCACGGCACGAAGCTGGGCCCGAGGAGCTCCGCGAGCTCGGCCTTGAAGACGGCGTGCATGGAGACATCGCGCTTGTCTAGGCGCACGCCGTAGCTGCGCAGGATGCGGGCATGGAGACCAGCCCTACCCCTCTCTCGCGCGGCCACCTCACCGAAGAGCCCGCGCCTCGGTGACTCCTCGTCCCGCCCCGCTGGCTCCCGGCTCTGCTGCGGCTGCAGCACGCTGCCGCCACCCAGCCCCTGCCTGCTCATTGGCTGCTGCTGCTCGCTGCTGCTGCCGCTCTCTTGAGCCGAGCTGACTCAACCCTCTCTAGAGCAGACGAGCGGCTTGCGGCTTTCAAAGAAGGCAGGCGTGCGAGAACAAAGCAAGCTTTGAAGGGGCTGCGCAGTGACTTTAAGGTAGTAGGATGAACACAATTCGGCTCCGGAGCGGCGTCCGTCGAGCTCGCATGCGCGCGACAGGGTGGCCATGCTCCTAACCGCATTTGCCGGCAACGACGTCATAACGGGACACCCAGTCCATCAGAGCGCGCTTCTCCGGCGGGCCGTGCGGCGCCTCCACAAAGCTGCCGTTGGGCATGAACTCAGACAAAGATCATGGCGTCCGCGTCGTTGTGCATGTACCCAGCCAACAGCCGACGATGTTCCGGTGCCGAGCCGCCCAGAGCGCCACCTCCTTGAGCACGTTCGCGGTCACCTCGCTGACGCCGCCGCGCGCCATTCCACCAAAGCCCCCGCCGCCAATAGCTTCTTCACGGCGATCACGCTTCACGCGCGCCGCTGCTGGAGCTCCGCCACAGACACCACCCCCGATCGTGCCCATGCTCACCACGTTCGCCTCCTTTATGCACGCCACCACGCCGGCGCTTTCGTGAACCCGAGCCGCTGGCGCCGCAAGCTCCTGGGCGCGCAATAAGCTCGAGCGCCTCCGTACCTCACATGCATTCGCGTCCTTCCGCCCTTCCGCTCTGCTCCACGGTGTCTCTCGTCTTGGCGGACGAGACAACCGCAGTTCGGCGACGGCGGCGCTTGCCCTCTAGAGCCTCCCGAAATCGGACAAGACCTCCGGGTTGAAGTCTAAGGCGACGGGCATGTCCATGTCGGCCTCCATCCATTCTGCGGCGGCAAGCGCGCCTCAAGGCGAACTCCTACGCGACTCATCGAGTGGCAAACTCTTGTACGTGGCGCGCAGGCGTCGGCACGTCGTCCTCGAGCCCCGCCATGAGCTCCCATGCGTTGATCACCTCGGGCTCGTTAGGCGGCGTCGGCGTCGGCGTCGCGGAGCTTCGAGGCCCGCTTCGCCCGCGTCGTCGCCGAGGAGCACCGCGTCCGCGGCGTGGTCGTTGTCGCCGTTCATCATCTCCTCCATCGACAGCGTCGCGTGCCTGCACGAGCCGGAGTGATGGACGCTGCCGGCGAGGCCGAGGGTGCCGAGCATCGACACGGCCCTCAGCCACAGACGCTGGAGGTCGACGGAGGGCAGCGAGAAGCTCTGCCGCGCGTGGGCGTCGACACCGACCCACACCATGTTGCGCCGCGCTTCGGTGGATGTCACGCACCCCATCGTCGGATCATGTCGCGACGACACGGGCGTGCGCGTGCTAGACTGCCGCCTGCGTCGTCCGTGCTCGCGTGCACATGCACGCGCGGCTCGATCAACGGCACCACAAATCCACAATGCAGTTGCAACCAAAGGATCTAGAGCTCTCGAGCTTGGATAATGACGGCTCTTTGCTTATTTGCACGCCCCCAAAGCAGGCTCACGTGCGCTTGCGCCACGCTGTCCACGCCACATTGGCCAAAACCTTGTTCCGATGAGTTATGGACTTAAGTGACGTACTTAAACAATATTATGGTGCTAGAAGTACGATTTAAAAGTGTGTGAACCTAAATGGCGCCACAAGACAAGTTCAAGACCTACGATGTATATTGCTAAAAAAAAAGAGCTCAGCCGAGCTCAGAGATCCATCAGAAGCCGTGCCAATGGCTGGGGCTGGAGAGCTCGCCTTTCCCTGCACTGCCTCCAGCTCTCCACCCAGCACCTGCAGTGTACGCTACGGACGCTGCTCGCCTGCTCCGTCCGGCCGGCCGTCGGTCCGACGGGTCTCTCGCCGTCTCGCGGCCGCGACGCGACGGCTGCCACCGTCCGGCGCCTTGACTTCCTGCCCCACCAACGGGAGGCAGCTCAGCTAGACCGCCTGGCGCCTGCCATGTTACGGTATACGTAAAACACAAAAAGGGCCTCGTTAATTGATTATTAATCAATTGCTACCAGTGCTTTGGTGCTAATATTAATACCCAGTGCTTTGGTGCTAATATTAATACCCGGTGCTTTGGTGCTAATATTAATACTCCTAATCGTGTAAGGGCCTGTTTTGCAGGGTTCCGGCTCCTTTAAAAACAGCTCCGGCTCTGGCTCTTCTGAACAAGTGGCTCCTCTGAAAAAGTTGAAACCGTTTTGAAAAACGTTTGGTAAAATGGCTCTTCCTGTTTTTCTAGAATGGGTGAAAGATGGTAAATATCTATAATACTCCTACTTATTATTTTACTATGGTGCAGATGTAGTAAAACCCAACCTAGAAAAATTGGTTTTACTATTTTTTGATATTTTTGTGATTTATTATATATATTTTACAAGCATCAGGTGATTTGGTCCATTTCAGGAGGAAGCTAATAGTTGTTTTTTCATTAAGAACCCTGGTCTATTTCTAAATTATTGGTGCTATTCTTTATTTTCTTTCTCTCGTATTTTTGCATTGGGTACCCTATCTTTTCTCCAATTCTTGCTAGCAGGTCCTCTCCTTTCTCTACGTACAAGCACAGGAAAACGGGCCGGCCTTGCAGTGACGGATGCTCGTCGCTCGAATCAGCGGAGGACCATCGTGTCCTTTTGCGCCCTGACGGAGGAGGAGCCCGGAGAAGCTCGGTTTTGTGGCTCGGTCTGCCACTGCATAAAAGGGCTCCGGCTCTTCCCGTGCTCCGTCGAAGGAGCCTTTGTGCAAATCACCGTTTGGTACAGCTCTTGCAGGAGCCGGAGCAATAGCCCTGCCAAAGATGCACTAAGTATAGGCGCAATTATGTTATGTCGCGGGGTTCCATCTGTGACATATGTTGTTTATTGAACGCTAGCTTGGACGGCAGCGGAGGCCGGAGGGACATGGACAGCCTGTACTGCCCTATGCTTGCTGCTGTTCCCATGTTGCTGCTGTGTTTTATATGTTCCTAGGAGTATTTTTTCTTTTGGAGGACTCACTCCGTCTCAAAAAAAAAAAATCGTTTTTTACTTTTAGACATATTATTTAACCATCCATCTTATTCAAAATATTTATAATATAAATATCATCTATTTTGTTATGACTTATTTTATCATTAGAGATACTTTAATAATGATTTATTTATTTTAAAATTTATATAAAATTTTTGAATAACACGAACGGTCAAATATGATGTCTGAAAATAAAAAAAAATCGTTCTTTTTTTTTGGACGAAGGGAGTAAGTAGAGGAGTCCTTGGGGAAGCAAAAGCAACTGGGGCCTTGTTTAGTTGGCCGAATTCGGCGCCGCCAGATTCACTGTGCGCACTGTGGCATTTCGTTTGTATTTGGTAATAATTGTCCAATCGTTGACTAATTAGGCTCAAAACGTTCGTCTCGCAAAGTACAACCTAACCGTGCAATTAGTTTTTGATTTCGTCTACATTTAGTACTCCATGCATGTACCACAAGTTTGATGTGACGGGGAATCTTCTTTTTTGCATAGTGCCAAAGTTGGGAGTTGGGAGCAATTAAACAAGGCCCGGTAATAATGCACTAATGCATGGTGGATGGGCAGCCGGTGGGAGATTTGTTTGTTCCGTTGGGTTAACTAAGGCTCTGTTTGATGCCATGGTAAAACTTTAGTCCTATATTTTTAGTCTAATTTTTTTGCCTTGAGGATCTAAACAGGTGGGTTAAAAGTGAGCAAATCCAGAAATCTAAAGAGTAGTCCATTTGCTCCTCAAAAGGACCAAAACTGGGCTAAAACGTTTTTGGGGGCGAGCCGGACGCCCAATACCCCTAGCAGGCCAGCATGCATGGTTGTGCATGGGTTAATTAAACGAGGGCAAATCAGTCGTCGTAGATTGGAGGACTAAAATTTAGCCCATAGATCCAAGCCAGTTTATGGGCTAAACTTTAGCCCATGACAAATGGATTTCTTAGTTGAAATGAAACAACTGGGCCACAAGCAAGTGCCAGGAGTAGATCGATTGCTGTCGTGGAGTGAGAGAGTGGTAACGGATCAGTGGACACTGGACACCGCAGGTGCCCGTTGTGTGACCAACCGCCACCGTGGCTGGCTGGCTGGCGAGCTGGAGTGCGTCAGTGCGGTGCCGAGCTGGGCTCGGCAGTGCCACTTGGCCGCCGGCCGCAGTCGTCGATCCATCCCCAGATCTGCGTGCTGTAGTATGAGCAGCAGCAGGATCAGGGGGGTCTGCAGAGAGAGATCGATCAGACCAATGAGAGCAGGGCGCCCAGGTCCCAGGGAGAGATCAAAGCAGCGTACAATACAAGTGGACGGTATGCGTAGTCGCCGTTCCAGTCATTCACCAACATGGACGGAGACAAGAAGCTGCGTAGACTGTGTACTCTACTTCAACCAACGAGATCCCCATCTCACGCGCTCGCGTCGTCCATGACGCGCAGTTTCAGAGGTTCTGTTGCTTCCATTCCACTCCACCGTGGAGCTGCGGCTGCGACAACCGAAAACGCTAGCATTGACCGCGTATTCGTCGAGCTGCTCTGCTCCACTCCAATGGCTTCGGGTACAGCTGTTCCCTGCTGCTGAGCTGATGAACTTGACTACTTGAGGGAAAGGGAAGCGTGTGGCTATTTGTGCTGGTGCTCAGGGCCATCTGTTCCTCGGTTTATTTGTTGCATTGCATCCTCCTTTCATCTTCTGGGCCACATTTGCTCATGCCTACGACCATCGTCACTGGGCAACTATTGGACCGTTAGCCCATCGAGTAGTAATTCGAGGTCATTTCCGAGCCTTCTTATAGTGACAAAAACATTTCAGCGGCCTATGCTTTGACTATACAACTAATAGTTAGATGTTACAGTTATCTCTAGTAGATAAAAAATACTCGGCCTAATAGTTCAAAATGGAGCACTCCATCCGTCCCAAAATACAAACTTATAGAATTCATATTTTATCCTAAAATACTAACATTCTCACTTTTTAGTGTACCTTTCCCTTCTCCTAGAGTGTTTGGGGTCCCTGGATTATAGGCTTAACATTCTCACTTTTCAATGTACCTTTCCCTTCTCCTATAGTGTTTGGGTCCCTGGATTATAGTGATTGATTATGGTTGATTAAAGTGAGAAATTCCTATTTTATTCTTAATAGTTTGACAATCGGTTAGGGTATGTTGGACTTTCAGGCTTTCATCACCTATAATCTCCTATAACCTAGTCTTCACCCGAATTACGAGGTTATGGTAATCAAGAGTTTTGATTATAATAGTCCATCATATAAAATAAACCCTGTTTAGATCAAAATGTGACTATAATATAATTATGATAATCGCTGGGGTATTAAGCTCTAACGTGGATTGATTGCTACAGCCAACCCCACAAAATCACACAATTTCAAATTTTGGGGATAATACTCATAAACATCCGTTTAAACTTAGTGCACAAAATCGAAAGACAGGATCATCTTCCTTCATTATGCAGGGAAACTTCTGCTGCTACCGGGTGGATTCCCAGTTTTATACTCGCGAGTAAGTGAATCCATTGCCATCACACCGTGAACTGTCGTGCCGCAAGGTACTCACTGGACACTAGCCTCTTGTGGATCAAATATCCAGATGGCCACACTCGACCCATCGACACGCAAAAGCTGTGTATACCACCACCATAAGATGTCTATTTTACGCATATACTACAACATGCTGTACATCCTCGGTGCCAAATGCCAACTCCCCAAACGACAAGTCTCTAAACGCCTCCTCAAAAAAACCTACCGCGCAACTCCATGACATTGAGGATTCAGTTACTTGCGCTGCAGTGCTGTGAATACCTGACATACTCTGTCCGCAGCATGTTGAGCACGTCTTCATCAAGCTGCTCCAACCGACCAGAGTCTCGCAGCTTGGGGTACAGATGCGCCACGCTGCTGATGGCGGCCTCCACCAGTTCCCACTGGCCCAAGTTTGCTGCGAAGCCGATGAACTCGAGGGAGGCGTTTGTGCTGGAATTCAGGCATGAGGTCAACACTTCAAGGCTCTCTTCCTTCACTCCATCCAGGAACCAGAAGTCAGCCAGGGATGACAGCTCTGCGTATGATTTCAGAATAGATAGTTTCTCTTCTGTACTCAGAGTCTTCCATCGGCAATCAGGTGGAACTCTAGGCAGCTCGCCTGAGTAGAACCACTGAACTAGTATTCTCAATGCTTCCCACCCGACCGGAACTCTGATAATCTCTGCAAAGCTGCACACATGGTTCTTATCAATTGTTTTAAACTTTCATGACACATCCTTATAGATAACCAAGAAATAAAATGCGTGTAGTACCCTGCTTTGAGATGCCAAGAAACAAAAGGCATACCTCTCATGCATCCCGGACTGAAACAAAGCACGGAGGTAATCGCAGCTCACACTCAAAACGATCTTATGGCTATGGATATGAGGAGTTGATAACTGGCACGAGCCATGGTGACACTCCATTTTGTCATTAGATTGGGCCTCCAAAATGATGTCCCTGGAAATTAAATGTAACGAAGTACATCGAGAGTCAGCAAAACTTGTTAAAAAGCAAAGATAGTACTGAGCATAGGGATTATAACACATGATAATATAAGGCCAGGTGTGATCTCTTCTTGGGCTGTCTAATAATAGTTTATAAAGAACCCTTCAAAGTAGCATCAGAAATTTAGAATGCAAATAACCAATATTATAACTGTGATGTGAATAACTAGAAGTTTTAGCAACAGGTGCCTGGTATCATATGTCCAGATAAAAGTTGGGCAAAATAAAGACTAGTCAGCATGTCTTGACTTTTGGCTCACAGGTTAGAATAAATGAAATAGTGTACTCACGAGAATGAATGTTTAACTGGTTCGAGTGCTGTAGTAAGATCATATATGGGACATGAGTGTCATCTGGGTTGCTCTTTCTTAAGCATCAAGTGCAGTGATCTCAAGTGGCAATACTTTGCAAGTGTTTTTACAGGCTTAACAATGGCATCATCTACAGTGACCAGTCCAGTGTATGCATATTCCAAAATTTTCTTCAGAGCATGACTATCTACACGATCAGACACTCGAACATGATAGCATGATCTTTTGCCCCATTCATCAGTCACTGACCCATCGTGGACAAAAGATTTTTCAGATGGCAATAATTTAGGACATCTTGCTGATAGGATAGCCACATGAGCACTTAGAGATTCACCATCTGCAAGCAACAGTTCCAGATCAACTAGCTCGTTATCACACAAAGCATTTCTCATATTTCCTCCCAACTTGCTTGGAAAACCACAGAGGCCAAACAAACTCAGTATATGTGCAATATAAGACTTGGGCCCTGGGCTCATGTTCTGACACAAGGCATGTTTGAGGACTCCAACCAAACCTTCGGTGCAATAATCTCTGCATTCATGGCACACAACCCCCCCATCTTTCTTTCTTTTACAGTGAAAACAAATAAAGCTGTCACTCTTCAGCAGATTAAACAATACTACGAGACCATAAAAGAAAACAATATTTTCACCTTCCCACTCTTCAGAGAGATGGCAGCATGAACATCCATCAAAACAAAATTGCAGATGAGAAGCAAAGTTTGATCTCGTAATGTACAAATGATCGTGCAGACATTCCTTAATAATGCTGGATAATACATCTACAGCACTCCTCTTGTTGAGACTATGGTTAGATTGCACTATCAACAAGCATGCTATGTTCATGAGGTTGGTCATGATCTTGACACAGTCAAAAGATGCCGTAAGATTTCTGGTAACATTCGATTCTAGTGACGACATGAGCATGTTCATATATTCATTGCCTAATGGTACAACAGCTTCCAGAAATTTAGAACTTGCCTCAGAGAAAATGAATTGGCTAGGAGAGAGAAGCATCATAAGAACTGCCCTCAAAGCCGGCTCCTGCTCCTCTTTAGACAATTTCATGGGGCTGTTTTTCAGAGTTAAATCTGACGCTAGCGAGCTGCACAAAGAAGCATGAGGTAGATAAAATTAGATCTGAACATGAATATAAAAAGTTCCTTGTGGCACTGAAGAAATATTCCAGAAAAATTGCACTCGAATGGGATAGAACCAAGTACCTACCAAGCACATGATATCAGTCCCTGCAAGAAACTATTCTGCCGTTTCCCTATGGAAAGATACTCATTATCGCAATGTACTGCTAGATATCCGAGTATATCCCATACATAGGGATGTATATTCATAATGTCTTTGGAATCTATATTGAACAGCTCGCCATGGCACAAAGTCTGATGTGCGTGATGTGAAGAGGTGCAGCTCCCAGAAAGAATCTTATATAATACTTCATCAATAGCATTAGACCAGAAGCACCTATGATGATTCCCAGAATAACGAAGTGCCAGTAATGCAGTCCGACATCCCTCTCTTACTAATGTTTTTTCATGAATCTCAGACATGGCATTGGTTATGCCTTGAACAATAGGCTGACAATGTGCAGTCATCAACTGATCGCAGCCCCTTGAAGATCTCTGTTGGAAAAAGAGCCATTTTTAGTTTCTCTTTCTGGGGAAAAAACATGTAGTAGATGTGTCATATTATTCAACCATCAAATTCTGTTGATACGAATCTTACCAGAAAAACCTGGCAGAGCCTTAATGCTTCAATCCTAGTGGCAGTAGGATGAGATTTTCCCATAAGGTCACCGGTCTTAGTGATCAACTCTTCATTCTTAAGAAGGACCATTGCTCCATTGCCACATAAAGCTGAATTACAGTTAGATGTTTTCAGGTGCGCAAGAGGAAACCAAATGAGAATGCAAAATATCTATGGGAAACTTAATTGACACAGAAGTCAAAGAGGAGAATTACCACAGGCACCGATGTACCTAAAGCAGCATATAGCTTAAGAATTTTCGCAGAAACTGTTGTTTCAGCGCTAAGACAGTAATGTGCTAGTTTTGCCATCAAGTTGTGGTTGCTCCATACATGGTATCTCGAGGAAGGCCAAATCCACAGGATACTTCTTAGCAGAGATATCATCTCCGTCAGATAGTTCAGGGTGTAGGCGTCTTCGGTGTAATTCTGTAGAGCTGAAATAACACTCGCAACCGCATTGGTTTTCTCCAGAGCCTCCCAAATTTCTGCCTGAGTTGAAGCTCTCGCTATAACTAGGCTGTTCAACATACAGGTCAATGCACTTGCACATGGTACAGCAATACGTAGCTGGTTTGCTGACAAATGGCATGAGAGGGACGAAACTATCTCCATAACTGGGTATTGGCGAACAGAATTTCCTAAGGTAGAGACAAACTTTGAGCTCACGTCAGCTGCTTGGATCAGAACCGAAATGTTCTGTCTTAAGAATACCTTCCAGAGCTACAAGTATATCTGAAATCAACTCCTGGTAAACAAATACTTTAGGCGTATTTTCATGTTTATATATACATAACATAACACTCTGGAAGAGTATACCACAAGGACATTAGGGAATAACTTGGAACAGCTGAGCAAGGCATAGTATCACAAACTGAAATACAGGAGATTTTACCTTTATAGGAGGAAGTTTCAGCAGTTCATTTGAAAGACAACCGACAAATGCACCCACCGATTTGAGCACGTGAGACTGTACTCCAGCATCAGTAGACTGCCATTTTTTAGCACCGTGGCCATCAGACCTGACATATACATAGAAGATCAAAAACAGAGCAAGGAGAACACAAATCTTGGTGAGAAAACATCCCTACAACCCAATTCTTTCTCTAATAATTTGATTCTATATTTCTATCCCATGTCTCTAAATATTAAAGTAACTATGTCCTGTATGATATGTATTATACAAACCCAGGGTTCAACCCTTTATTGTTTTCAACTTGGAGCGTGAAATCACCAAAGTTACGAACCGAGCTACCGAAACCACTGACGCGCACACGCACGCTTGTTTGCGTAGTGGAGAAGTGCTAATTCATCGGCACGGTTGTAGATAGAGAAGTAGAGATGCTATGAATTCGTCGTCGGAGTGTGGGAATCAGTAATTACTTGGTGAGGCCGAGGGCGAGAGCGTCGTGGAGGCGGGTGCGGAGGGGGAGGGCCTGGCCGGTGAGCAGCTGTTCGGCCGCAGAGGCGCCCTTCCTCCTGCCCTTCTCCCTCCCGGACGGCGACGGCTTGGAGGCGGAGAAGGCCGGTCGCATCGCGTCCTCCTTGCTGGAGCCTGGACTCTGGAGGCAGGCAGAGATGAGAGAAGTGAAGGGAAATCCAAGTGTTCTTCTAGCGAAGCGACGGTTCAGTCTCAAAAGGAGGCGATTGCCCGGTGGGCTGGGCTGGTCTGGGCCGGGAAGGAGAGGCTGCATTGTTGGGATGGCCTCCATCATTTTCTTTGGGACCCTGCGTTCAAAAATGTGAATTGTTTAAAGAAAAATAATATAGTATACATATTTACATCTAAGAAGCAAGTAAATGTTTTATGCTATGATGATTTTAATAAAAATTAGTTGATGATGTAGATTTTGAAACATATTTTTTTTAAGATTGGTCAAACTTATAGAAATTTGACTCGAGAGAAAACTAACACGACCTACGTTAATGAAGAGAGTACATTCTTCTGTGTGGCGCCAAGCACGCTTTCTTGCGTTTCCAGTTTACATTTATATATGCTTCACAGCAGACACTTGCATGTAAAAAGGACCGGAAAATCAAATTGAAAGGGCAACATCTGGCAGGAGGTAGAATGGTTTGAACAAGGTAGATGTAGCACGACAGTCAAGGCCCCCACCCACTGCATACAAAACCACTGCAACATCTGGCAGGACTGCAGGAGGAAGAATGGTTGAAAAAAAGGACCACTGCAACAAAGGATGGGGATTCTGGGAGGGCAGGTGCCGTCCGCGCGTTGTTGGCCTGCAATGGTGGCGAGTGACTGCAGCACGCTGTCGTGGCCACACTCCAAATCCTATAAGCCAGTGTCATGCTGGCAAGCTCATGCTTTCCCAGGATTGAAATTGGCGCTCTGGAAAAAAAAAATAGTGAAACCAAAAGGATTCAGGCAGCAACTCTGGACAATGCAAAGATTAAGAAGCTCAATGCATGGATAACTTCACTAACAATGTCTACTTCAAAAATACAGGACACCAATTGATTATGCCCCAGCAGTCGGTTATACCAACACAGTTGAAGAAAAGTTCATAAACTCCTCGGTCATAACTGCCAGTGAGATCTTAACCACCACCACATGGCCAGGGTAGCCATTAAACAAGATGAAAACCGGTAAGCCCGAAAGAGATTACCTGAAGAATTCACCGAATATAGTGACATTGTTCACATGTTGGTTGACATCAAGAGATCTCCACAGGGCTGTTACACATGACGGAGTTCCATGAGAAATCTTACATAAAAGAATGATCATGATGAGTGACAGTTAAGCAAGAAAGCATGATTATCCAACTCAGTAAGACCCTTCCTTATGAACTGCATCGGAGTATCACCATCAAAAAGTGCTCCCAGCTTTCACTTTTCTTATCTGTTATGGCTGTTGAAATACAGGCCTATCTCAGCCCTAACTTCATCTGGCATTTTTTGAAGGCCTTCTAGTGTTCTTATTCATCATCACCCAAACACTGCAAGATAAAATCAAAATGTAAGCAAATTGTTTTCAAAGATGGAAGTGCTTATCAGAAAGAGAAAAGCAGCGAATGCAAATACAGATGAAATACAAACCTTGTAAGCTCTCAAGATTGTATGGCCAGAACTGTAGTCTCGACACATGCCATTTTTACCAGCAGCAGCTACCCATGTGTTCACTTGGACCGTATCTCCCCTATAGTTATGGCATGTTTCAAACAATATTTTGTCAAATTTTCAGCCCATAAACAAATGCTACACTGCTACGACTATATCTGAACCACAAAAACTGCAGTTGAAATTATATTTTCTTTTCTCCAACAAGGTAAACTGAGAATAGAACGACTTGTCACTTGCATTGAACAAATGAAAGTTGTGGCAGACACCGATTTTATGAGCACTCAAGTGATTTGCTGAAGTAGTAAGTAAATTAAATGCAGTCAACCGGTCCAGGTCAAGGACATATTCCCATGGCAACCCACATTTGTTTCTTACTATGAAATCGTTATTTCTCCAACAAATTCAGTTCTGATCCCTTGAGGAGTACAATCTAGGTCGTACCTTTTTTATTCTAAAAATTTAAAGGATGGCAAAATGCAACTTAATTCAGCAGTTCTAAGCCATCATATATTGCCTTACCAAACAAATTTTTCTCCAGGAGAGCTGCGCATCATTATATTAAGAAGATAAAAAATGGGACAAGAACCCATACAAAACCACACACACAAATGACTTCCAATGCCATGCTGCTCTTTTTAACAAAAAACTTTCAATACCTTGTTCATTGTGAACTCAGTCATGACAAATAATAATATAATATTATACTAATTTAAGGTACATATTAGTGTTTTGCTTAGGTGCCCACATGTCTTACATGAATTTTGAACACCAAGAATTTCACACATTCAGCATGGCACTGAAAAGCAACAAAGTAATCATCTCCTTTGTAATGCCTTCGATGTTAGAGGATGGTTAGCTAGCAACATAATGTACTACATTTTACCTACTTGGTGACAAACTCACAAGTTTCTGCATAAGTAATCCATGGGCCATGGCTCCACCATGAAAAGTTGAAAAATGACCTCAATAATCAGCAGTAGTAGGCTGTAGGCAGTCTTGTATTCTGGTACCCTGTTGACATGCTGCTGTTATGTAGTACACATCAGTAAATCGTGATGGGATGTTAACTCCAGCTATAGCCAACTTCTTTCTCAGTAGCAGCATTTCTGATTTGACTTCTCAAATTTTCCATCACATTCCATCTTTTGGTTGATCCATTTACACTGATGAGATGCAGGTACGGCATTTTAGTAGTAGGTTTGATGGAAATTAATTGACTTGCTGCATGCTCTGCCAACCTGTCATTGCCATTCAATCGGCAACTGCTCAAGAGAGAAGTCCAAATTGCAAAGTCTGGTTTAAATGGCATTGAGTTCATTAACTCTTCAGCCTGCTCAAGCATGCCTGTCCTACCGAACAGATCAACCATGCAAGCATAATGCATTTTATTTGGTAAAATTCCATAATTACATGTCATCATACTGAAGAACTGTTTGCCTTCCTCCAAAAGGCTCATGTGATTACATGCAGAAAGTATGCCGAGAAATGTGATCTCATCAGGATCAACTTGAGCCTTTTTCATGTTATCAAATGTCTCAATAGCATTTTGACCAAAACTGTTGAATGCATATCCACAAATCATTGTGTTCCATGTCACTACATCTCTGTTGGCCATCCTATCAAAAATGGCTTGGGCAATAATCATTTCACCACATTTGCAATATATACTGATGAGTGAATTCTGAATTAATAAATGTGATCCAAACCCAAGCCTGATAGTAGAAGCGTGAAACTGCTGGCCATGAACAATCATAGAATGCTGTGAAAAACAGCTAATAAGGCTAGAAAGAATGGAATCACTTGGTCGTATATTTGACAGTAGCATCTTCTTGTACAGCTTAAGTGCGTCATTGTTTAAACCATTTTGAGCAAGCCCATTGATCAAACAGCTCCAGGTCACTAAATCTCGTGTTGGAGATTCATCAAAGAGCTTGTAAGCTTCAGTAACCTTACCTTGATGAAGCAAACCAGCTATCATCACATTGTATGTGACAACAGTCCTTTTGTGCATCCTACAGAAAAGATCCAGTGCATCATATATATACCCTCCTTTCACATATCCAAATAGTAAAGTAGTGCAGGACATCACATCTACTTGAGGCATACTGTAGAACACATCCCGAGCTTTATCAAGCATTCCATTGTCTATAAAACAAGACATCAAAGTAGTAGATGCTTCTAAATTCTTTTCAGGCATCTTTGAGTACAACTCAATAGCGTCAGGAATTCTTCCATATTTTGCATAGCCATTGACCATCAAATTCCACGAGATCTTATCTCTGCCATCCATGGAATAAAAAATCTTTCTAGCCTCATCAATCTTGCCTGCATGGATACAGCCAGATATGATAGCATTCCATGAGCCAACATGCTTTCTTTCCATTTTATAAAATTCCAACTGTGCCTCGTTGATATCTAAGGCGTTACAGTACATCACAACTAATGATGCCTCGATGATGTGGTCATGAATAAACCCAGACTTCACAGCAAACCCATGAACACACCTGCCTCCTCCAATACTTTTCAAGCCAGCAAAAGCATTAACAATCTTAACAAAGATTGCATTTGTCACTACGTCCCTACTGCTCATCAAAGTGTTGAATAGTTCAATCACTTCTCTGAATCGCTTGTGGTTGACAAGGCCTCCAATCATGACGCACCATGACACCGAATTCTTTGCGGGCATAAGGTTAAACAGCTCCAATGCACACCCCACCTCGTGCACAGTAAAATAGCCTTTGATCATCACAGTCCAGGACACAACATTGCGCTCTGGCATCTGATCGAACACCCTACGAGCATCCTCTACCCCGTGGTTCATCACAAGGCCTGATATGAGAGCATTCCATAAGGCCACGTTTGGACTGTCGACATCATCCACAATCCGCTCCAGGCAGCTGAACACCCCACAGTTGGCATACATCGTGATCAGGGAGGACCCCACAAACATGTTCAATGAAGATCTGGTCTTGATTGCAAGCCCATGGATGGACCTCCCCAGAGCTAGAGCCTCCATCCGTGCGCAGGTCGACAGCACAGTGGAGAAGGAGGTGTGGTCTGCGCAGAACCCCTCGCGCCTCATCTCGAGGAATGCAGTAACTGCACTGTCATGCACCCCGGAACGGGCATACGCGGCCATGAGGGAGTTCCAGGACACGACATCCCGCTGCGGCATTCTGTCGAACACCTCCCGCACAGCATCCACCCTGCCAGCACGCAGATGCTGCCCAATCAGCCTGTTTGCTGAGGTTATCGCATCGCAAGCGCCCGACATGCATGCCAGGGAGGACTTGGGAGGCCCAGCACGGCGAGCACAGTACGACGCAGCTCGCGTCAACCCGGGCGGCATCGCAGACCGCGCATGCCAAAGCTGCTCAGCTGCTGTTGAGGGAGGAATAAGTTCAGGAAAGTCACGGCCTTAGTTGTGCCATGCCATTGTCTTGCCCATGAGTGGTAGACTGGTAGTGGACCGGACCGAGCCTCTGTCTTTCAATTCAGTGAAGTGAATCTGGCATTATAAGCAGCAATTAGTTCTGTATTACCATTTGACTTGACTCATCAAGGTTATAGATACCCATATAATATTCTTATTCTAGTACAAATATTTAGAGGCCTGGTTAATGAAGATGTTTTCACATATACATGCTCCTAGTAGGAAACAAAATCACCACATATCATCATATCAGTCACCAAATCTCAACGCACTTCCTCAAATAAAAATCTGTACTTGTTCCAGGGAAGACGTAATGCCATTTCGAAGCTCTGAAAATGGCAAGGCCAAATACTAAAGCATCTCCAGGAGACACTCCAAATTCCACCCTATATACCTTCATTTGTCTACCCACTGTAAAATATTTCCCCTCCATATCATTCAGCACTCTGCAAAAATACTAGCCAAATGACCAAATCTCACCCTCCAAATCCTATTAGCCTATATTTTATTGGTATTCAACTTTTTTTTCTAACCGCACTCAAACAAGTTCAGATAGTACAGCAAACTATCTAGTTAACTTTATGCCTCCAGATGATATTAACACTTTATAGACAATGTCTAGCAACAATTTATGATATCTGAAGAACCGTGTAACATTGTAAGTAAAAAATTCAGATAGTGCAGTAACTATTCAAAGAACTTGGTGTCATTCAAGTCAGATATTGCCATTATAATAAGTAAAAAGAATCAGTAATGGCAATGTTGTTACTTCACAGAAATCAACAATAACAATGTTGATTTCAATCTTCCTAGGAGAACTTTGCAAAGCACAGTGATAAATTCAGACTTGCGCTCCTCCCCAAGAACGAGATTCAGAAAGCTTCTATATAGACAGATACAAAACAGAAACAGTTCTTCCCCAGTATACAGTTGTTCACCAAAGTCAGCAAGAACATCAGCAAAAAACAGAAGCAACTTCTCCCCACAATCCACACTTCTTCCCATCCCGATCTCCTTTTCCCCTTCTCCCATCTCAATATAATCTCCATATCCAGTACCTGGGCGCAGTAGGCAGCAATTCAAGGGCGGAGTCGACTCTGGGAGCAAAACATGCGCGGCCACGCGACGCATCGGCCGACGGCCGGGAAGGAGGAGGGTCGCATTGACTAGGGAAACAGAGAGGAGACGAAAAATGGCAGGAAAGAGGAGGATGGAGGAGCTCTCACCAGGGTCGTCGAGGTCGGGGAGCACCGGCTTCGTCGGAGAAGCGCCCGTGGCGGCTGGCCTGCCTGCTGCGGGCGCGCGGAAACTGAGCGAAACAGGGGCAAACATATCGCTACATCAGCGTGGGGCGGCCGCCGCAGGTAGCTGGCGGCGCGAGCCCCTACCCCCCGGCCCCCGGCGATCAGGCTCCCAAGCCGCGCGAAGGAGCGATGCGCCGACGACGGCGAGTAGAAGTTGAAGACGACGCCCAGTCATTTTGGGTTAGAGATAGGGAGACACACCGTGACTCCGTGAGAGAGGAGGCGGCAGAGCGACGGGCGTTGGGCGAGATTTCTGACTTCTGATGACGTGGATCGTATGGGCCGTTTTTTCAGGTCCAGGCTCAAAAACAAGCACCGGTGGCCCAACAATCCCAATTACCGTCCTCCTATTTTTTTTAATGAACATAAGTATAACTTCCTCATCACGTATCGTTTAGTTTAAGACATCGGTAATGCTTCCTGCAGGCCGTCCGCCCGGACGCTGTCTTTCCTGAGCCTGCACAGCGGACCGACGCAATAGGCAACCGGCATACTCATATTCACCATCTTTGCGACCGATAACTTTCCCACTCCGCTCGTCATGGTGTTCACCGCGCCGTCCGCCCCTCCACCTCCCCGTCACAGCGTCCACTCGTGACCCTGCCAGGCGGCGCGAAACCCAAGTCGTCATAGACCCCCTCCCATCCAAACTTCTTGCTCCAGCACCTACCCGCCCTCTGCGTCATCGTCGCTGTCACGCCCTACCTCATCCACCGAAAGCACCCTACCGCGGCCTGCTCCTGCCGCTGCTCCGCGCGCCCGCCCTGCTGCTCCTGCCATTGCTCATGCTCCTCCACCTACCCCGCCCGATGACACCGACCGGTGCCGCCAGCACAAGGAGAAGCGACGGACCCTGGCGCAGAAGCCCATCCAGCCTCGCCTCCTGCTACAGCTACAACGCTCCGATGCAGACAGCGGAGGAGGGCGCACCGGGATATTATGCATGTTGCAAGTGTACATTTCAAATGTTTCATATGTTTTAAAGGTATATTTCAAGTGTTTCACATGGATGTTGTAAAAGTAGATTGTGATGTTGCATATGTTCACGTATATTGCAAGCGTCTGTCCTCAATGTTTCATCTGTTTTTTTCGACGTATGTTGCAAGTATGTTTATCTGGATGTTGCATATGTTTCACACATATCTTGCAAGTGTTTTTATCTAGATGTTTCGTATGTTTGCAATGGTTTTTCAATTATTTTTGCAAGTGTTTCAGATGCATGTCTCAAGTGTTTCATCTGTCTTTTTTGTACTTGCAAGTGTTGCATCTGGATGTTTCAAAAGTAGATCGGTTGTTGTACATGGGATACGCGTGGAAAGCGGGAGGGGCTGAGAGCGATCCCCACGCGGGTGACATTCGGACGGTGTGGGTGACGCAAGCGCGGTCGAGCGACGTCTGGGAGTCGTGGGCCCACGCGTGGACGCGTGAAATGGAGGGAAGAAACCGACTGCACCCGCGGACGTCCGGATGTCTGGGCGCTAGCAGTGTTGTTAAGATATTTGAATGCACTATTTTTTTAGAAAGTTGTAAGCTTTTTAAATCTAGAGAGGAGGTAATCGGCCGGCAAGCTGAAAAAACTAATGCCTTGTTCGTATACAATGTAGGTTTTGGAGGTTTAGAAAAATACTATATGGTTTTGAAATATTATGAGGTATCTGGATCGCAAACCTTGTAGTTTGTACTTAAAAACTGTTCAATCAGACTTTAAAGTAGACTCTAGAGTCAATAGGAAAGTATATTTGAATTTAATTTGTGATTTCCGTCAAATGTTCTTACCGGTGCCCTCTCTAATGCAGCCGCAACTGTCTCAGAGTGAAAAAAAGGCCATCACTTTGATGCCTGATGACAACCTGAGAAAAGCCTGCCGCTGGGCTAGTCCTTTCCCGTCCGGGCTCAAATGACGGCTAGCGTTCGGATGTCTCGTAAAAGTAACCAATAATGCTAATGAAAATCAAACATGAGATGCAGTATTTCAACCTTTTCAGGGGAAAAAAAATTTACGAGCACCAAACGACGATCTTCGTTGTATGAGAAAAATTTACAAACATGCAAAGATTATATTACAATGAGTCGAACATTCTCTCGGTATAGCTTGCAAGTGAGGGAGAAGTCAAAGAATCATATCCAAGTTTTTATTTAATTTGTCCCAATTGCTATGGCTGCAACAGATCACGTCGCCCAGTAGTTTATTCGGTGCAGAAATCAGGTTTGGCACTAGGAGTAGTTTTTTGTTTGGACGCGTGAAAATGAAAGTTGTGTACCCATGTTTCACATTAAACACGAATTGAATTATTAGCCCCTAGGTACCGATGATCCTTGGGGGCCCCTTGAGTATAACGTTAACGTAGTTTTAGTCAAATTAATCCATCGCTTGTGTGTTGCCATGCAAACCAGATAGAGATGTATGAGGGAAACAGTGCCGGTCCTATGATTTTAAGGGCCCTATGGCGATCTCAATGTAACGGCCCCTTTTGATCATGTATAAAATCTTATAATATATAGGCGCTAATTTTACTTGCAAAATGAAAGCAAATTCAATAACATGTTTTGAATTTAACATGTCTGATAATTATCGAGAAATAATATAGATTAAACAATATATTTGTAGATGTATGATAATTATCGAGGAACGATGTAGATTAAAAAACAATATATTCGTTTTCTTTTCTCACCCATGGCAAATGTTTTTTAGGTAACATTCTAAAATTCTAACACCTAAATTAGATGAAAAATATGACTATATGGGTACAAAGTACTAGGAGTCTGGAATACTATACAAATAATTAATTTGGATTAAAAATAAAAAGGAAAAAAATACCTCAGACCTAAACAACTGATCAGTGATCGTAATTCATAATAAGCCAAGAATCAAGATGTCATCGTCGTGGAGCCCTACCTAGTCGCCGTCCTCGTGCGCCGTGTCCGTGTCTCCGGTAGTCTAGCTCTTCGCGGCAGCGCGGCTTGCTAGCTCCGCGTGTGTAAGGCGCACGTCGCGAACTCACGATCAGAGTGTGTTGTGTGCAGCGTGACTCCTCGCCTCCTCTCTACCCGAGGGCCGTGGGGAAAGAAAACTAAGAAAGAAATGCCGATGTTGTCTTTTTTAGCCGCCTGACCAATTCTATGTATATAGAACATGGAGGTTTGTATAGGAGAAGGCAACGGGCGAAATGTTTGTTGCGGCTCCCTCTCCATATACAAATCCTTTTATACTTTATTACAAAACGACGCAGGGCAACTGCGGCTGGTTCTTTACAAAACGACGCAGGGCAAAACGACGCAGGGCAACTGTGGCTGGTTCTTTACAAAACGACAGCAGGTTCTTTACAAAACGACGCAGGACAACTGCGGCTGGTTCTTTACAAAACGACGCAGGGCAACTACGGCTGGTTCTTTACAAAACGACAGCAGGGCAACACGCTGCGCAGCGAACCTCCCAATCTCCCTTAGGGCCTGTTCGATTACTCCAGATCGAGGGCCGCGAATGATTCCTGGTCGGATTTGTTGACTAATGGCCCGTTTGGTTGAAGGGGAATGGCTCCCTGGAAATAATCCAGGCTGATTTCGTATTCTAATTTGAATAGCCTTCGTCAATTGAAATTATTCCTGGCTAGG